AAAGACAACTCAGCTAAGCCTAAGGATTGAGTGATGAATGGGAAAAATGCTATCGTGGTCCAAACAGAACTGGCAAGTATCTCAATCGCCACAAAAGAAATAACCTGAAAAGGAATTTCTGGCAAAAACATAGCAATATGCATTGATAGCAGACAAGCCCTATTAACTTCGAACAGACAACGTATAACCTCAGGACTAGTAATAAAGTGTCACCAAGATTTTGCCAAAACCTCGGTAGATAATAACATTATCCTGAGGTGAGTTAAAGGGCACGACAGGAGTAAAGGTAATCGCATTGCCAACTCTTTAGCCAAGGAAGCGGCTGGACTAAGAATTCTAGGACCCAGTGTCACCCACAGCCTGATGACTTCGACAATTCCGGAACTAGACAAATGTTACACCCATGCTCAATCTTTAAAGGGATAGGCTGGAATCAAAGGGTGTATTTTTGCCAGGATCACTTTGGGCGACCCTGGGAAGCTGGCGCCGAAGAAATATCTGGCGATGACCAGGAAAATCTACCCTTAACAGTAGGATTTCTATGCAGGCTGTCTGAACAGAAATTTGAGACTGTTAGGCATGTCCTATGCGAGTGCCCGCAGTTATCGTCAATAAGAGAGTGTGTGTTCGGCGAGTCTTGGCCTACACCTGCCGATATAAAGGAGATGTCTCCCAGCGACCTGTCCATCTTCCTGGAAACGACAGGATGGACGATGACCTAGGAGGACAACTCCTCGGGAGGATGTACAATGGGTCACATGTGGCCTAAATACTGTGGGCTTACACTCTACAGATGCATATACTCCAGACAAGTAAGAAACTATTTGGGTATCACTTTTCACAGCCTTTGGACTTTTTTATGGGGCTATTTGAAACAAAAGGTTCACGAAACTGCTTCAATATTGCATATACGACAGATAGTAATAAATATTTGTAGAGATATTGGCGTTACTGTGTTCAAAAATGTTCATCGTGGCTGTTCATATGTCAAAAAATTCAAGGCAACTATTCCGAGCATCTTAGAACTAACCTCAAGCTGATCACCTCATATTATGTAAGTAAATACCAATGTATTCAGGCAATCATTATGGTTTCACCAATGTAACTTTTACCACAAGAACAATGTATTTTATAAATACAATTTTTGGTTTTTTCTTCAGTGTTGTTGGGTTTTGTATGTGTGAGTATAGATCTCAGTGTATTTCTTGTTTTGAAAGTAGTTCTAACATCATATATATTTCCAATTCGTCTTATTTTTTCAGATAGTCTTAGAATGTAAGATATAACGTTAGTTGTGAAAGGTGTAGGTGGATGTTGAGTTGAGTTGAGTTGAGTTTGTATATTCGTTTGATTTTCAATTGACTCTTTATTTGCTATTGCAAGTTACTGATAAATAGAAGATTTTCTTTGTGAAAAATACTTTAATTTTTACGCAGTAACTTATCGTGGTGAACTAAAAAGTTCTCCATTATACTTTTTATATTTTTCAGATTGTGGAAGGTAACAAAATACCCAAAAGAAGGTCGATAGAAAACTGATTTTCCACTACAAAAAAATTACTTTCGTTGAATAAAGTATTCATGCATTAATTTCACTAATCCAAATTTCAATTTCTTGAGTTGACCTGTTCGAAAAATAAAAGGGGGATGGGGACAATGAAAAAAAGCGCCAGAACCTAACAGTATTCAGGAATTTATTTCTCCAAAAAGTTGAAAAAACATTTTTGTGCAATATTGTTACAACACATCATTTTATCGAAACATTTTTTTCAATTGATTCACGCATTTGAAATGTGACCATGATCAATACAGATATTTATTGATCATACAGATCATTTTAACGTATATTCTGTGGAAATTCATTATCTATCCAATTAATCATAATATAACCAAGTATTATGATAATAAACCAGTGTCAACCAGAAACCTCATCAAAGTTGTGAATCTTTCATTATATCCATCAGGATTTCTAGACTCGAATGAGAAAGCTGATATTATATTATTCCCAGCTTCCGATTCCACCGCGAAATCGGGTGCTTCATCAGAATCACAGCACATAATTTTCATCACTGTCGTAGACATGTACACTCCGAATACGATTGCATGTTTCCAGTGCTTCTCCAAGAGACTGTAGGGAAAAATATCTTCAGGATCGCAGGAAAATTCTCTCAAAATCTGGCAGACGGTGTCATGATATAATTTCAAGTATTTTTGATAGTCGTAAAGAACTTCCTTTGGACCGTGGGCGAAGAAAAAGTAGGTCAGGTCAGCGGCAGGTGAGCCGATTTTTGACAGTTGCCAATCCAAGATGCAAACTCTGGAGATTTTCGAGGTGTTTTCTGGTGTCTGTAAATACATATTTTCATTATTTATTTGGTACACGGGAAACTTATTTTTGAATAGTACGTAATACCCAATTCAATACAATTGTTAATTCAGCAGATATAAATCAGTTTAATAAGCTATGCAATATTTTTGATAGTTTTAATATGACTTCTGTCATACTTTTTTACTTTATTTCTAGTGTTATGTACGTGGTCTATATAATCGTGACGTTTATGTTTATATTGAAAATACACTAACTGTATGTAGTACAACTGACTAATATCAAATATTTTAGCCTCTTGATAAAGAAGGTTTGTAGGATACAACATGTCTCTTTTAAATATTATTTTTAGGAATCTTTTTTGTAGAGTCTCAAGTTTGGACAAATGACAGTTTGCGGCTCCACCCCATCCCAATATTCCGTAATTTAGCCTAGATTCAACCAGAGAGTAATATACAATCTTTATCACAGGTAAGTCTAAGTATCGGTTCAGAAATTTTATTTTATATAGCATAGGCCTTAATGTTTTAATTACATTTTGTATATGTATATTCCATTTCATAGTATCGTCAATTGTTATACCTAAATATTTTATATATCTAACTCTATTTATTTCTATTATTTTATTGTTGACATGTAACTGTACAACATTAAAATCTGGTAAACCATTTTCATAACAACTAAATGGAACAAAGCACGTTTTTGAGTAATTAACAGTTAATAAATTATAATCAAACCAGTCTATAATGTGAATAAAATCTTGATTAATTTTTTGTTGTAGGTCAGCCCATGACTCACTCTGATAAAAAACAGCCGTGTCATCTGCAAAACTAATAATGGAACCTTCAGTATTCAAGGTAAGTAAATGATTAATATAAATGGTGAACAGAGTAGGCCCTAGAACCGTACCTTGCGGCACACCATATGTTATTAAATTTTCTTCACTTAATTTATCATTTATTTTGACTTTTTGCTTTCTTCCAGCTAAATAGCTTACCATCAAATTATAAACACTGCCCCTGAAACCTAAATCCTGTAAAGTTTCCAACATCCTATTATGAGACACTGTGTCAAATGCCTTTGCAACATCCAAGAANACCCCCAAACGAAGAGCTACATCATTTTGTCGCATGCCACCTTGAAGAAGCCCTACAGCTCTATTCATCTCAGCCAATGGTAAGTGATGGCGTTCCATGTTAAAGCACAATATTTCCAGTTTAATTGCTGAGCAAGAACTGCATAGAATGTACAAACTCGACACTTTCAGATTATTCATTTTAGCCGAAAACCTACAGTTTGTAAAAAACTTGATAAAAGATAAGTTACCGTTTTTCAGGCTTTGTTCAACCCATAGAAATCTACAGGGTGGTCGAGTGTACCAATTTAATCGAAATTAAACGACCTCGTGCATTTATTTTTATGATATTCAGTATGTTATAAAAATATCCCTAGACTTTTCTGATGTGTGTATAACAATTAGATAATGAGTGATGAGCAACCCATTTTGTATAACCCCGATTCTGACGAGTTCATCAGTGTGTAAGTACTCTTCGATGTAAGATGTCAACTTCAATACGAATAAAACCAAACTCTTGGTAATGACTGGTTTCAACTGAACTACCTGGAAACCCCAACATTTCAGTGGTCTGGATAGAGTCTGCGGAGTTCGAAGAGAAAATCTCGATATTTTATCCGTTTTTCCTCCTCTTTTCTGACGATATTCGTCTCGCCATGAGCTGAAAACTTCACGACAAATATCGTTTTGGTCTGGTGGTCGAGAAGGACTACATCAGGCTTATTAGCTTGTATAAGCCTGAGGGTGGGGAACGAATAGTTCCAATAAATTCGGTACTTCTCGTTCCCCACAACGGATTCAATATCCCCCGGAGCATATTATTATTATTATTATTACTAGACCCTCCGTAAGTATACATTTTTCTTCGGTTGTAAAGATACTGTAAAAGAAATAAATTACCTCATATTTGAACATCAGATTATTACACCAACAATCACCGTGATTGACGACTAAATTCCACTCGGAACTGTCAACTTTTTCCAGAAACTGTTCCGATAATAACTTTACCATCTTCTTCAAAACTTTCTGCAATTCCGTGTCACTTTCGAGTGCTTTAGATCCGTTCTCCATAAATACATCTATGAATGGCTGTATTCCAGTTGGATCATTGGAACCTGATTCGAAAACATTTTTCACGATGTCTTTAGTTAAATCTTCGAAGAAACTGGGTTTCTTGAATCTCATTGCCATCGACACCGCATGGAATTTCGCGTATTCCACGAAAACAGCGGCGATGTGTTCAGGAGTCATCGGAATCTTTTTGTCCCAGAGTCTGAAACCATTTTCAACTATGTTTTCCATAACCAAACATTCATTTCCCTCATCTTTAGAAGACCAGTACAGTTTTGCATGACCGGTGAATCGATTTGTGATATTGTATTCATCTTGGAACTTCTCAAATTCTCTGAAAATCTCGTAGATGTTTATTTCTCTGCAAAATAATCCGTGGATAGACACCGTTTTTCTCAAGGCCGCGTTTGTCGATGCTGTTTTGAGAATCAACTCGAGTTTACGCTGATCGTTTTTGATGGTAATCCTCGTTATAACCCCTAAAAAGTTATCCCCCTTGGCAGATCCAGCGCTAGTTTCCACTTTGAAATCGCCAGTGAAACCATTCCGCAGAGCAATTGCGTTGATAAGTTTGTTCTGCTCGTCGCTCAGTATCACTGACATTATCACAACCTACTATGGACACACTCACTATCAGTATGACTAAATGAAATTACTGATTATATATAATACATGTAATGATATGACCTTGAGCTCACGATAGGATGATATTTGGATCACTTTGATCACAAATAAGATTAATTGATAACGTTCAACGAAGTTTGACTGAAATATAATAGGATTTTTGGTGTAACTTTTTTCTTTCCCCTTCAATATACTCTCCTTCAGTTCCTCCACGCATTTCTGTAGAAGATTTTCCACTAGATTTGACGAGTAGGGTGGATGATCATACACATGCTTAGCTAAAAGTGACTAAGCAATCTGTGCAGTGTTTTCCAACAACTGTTGAGTCTAGTAGTCCGGTCAAATTAGACTAAAATATAAGAGTGAAGGTACATAAATTTACAACAAGCTGCAAATGCGTGTAATTGTTCAAAAAAAAGTTGAAAATAAGATTTTAAAATTCCGAATGATTGCGATGCTTGGAAAAAAAATTATTCGAGGACAAAGGGAAAAATCTCGAAAAAAATTGCTTTTTCGCGATTTTCAGGAAAACGGTGAGTTCTATCATAAAATAACCTCAAAAAAAATTGTACAAATTTTGTACAAAAAATGTTTCAATACTTTTTTTCTTAGAGCCACCGTTTCTGAGATACGACGAGTCAAAAAGTTGTAAAAGTTGTTCATTTTATTCGGTTCATTTCAATGTTGAAGGATAAGTTTATTGACGAAAATATATTATATTGGTTAAACAGACTGATAACGATGCCGACGTACTGATTATTTATTGAAACAGCTATAGAGCAATTTAATTTGACAAATAAAAATATTGTTGTTGATGAAGATGTAGACTTAATCGTACTTCTTACTGCTCGAACTCCACCTGAAAAAACTATTTTCTTTCTGAAGCCAGGAAAAGCTCAAAGTCTTTTCCAAAGAGTCAAAATCATGTACTATTTTTACACGCAATAACTGGGTGTGATACGATGTATGCATTTTACAGGAGGGGTAAAGCAACAGTCTTTGAAATGTTTGAAAAACAAGATTTAGTTCAATGTGCTGAAGTTTTCAAAAAAAGTTATTCGACTCAACAAGAAATTATAACCAACGGGAATCAGTTTCTTCTTTCTATGTACAAAGCTCCGAAAAAAACCACCTGCTTAGATAAGTATCGATATGCTTGTTTCGTAAAAACACTAAAAATAAAAAACAGGTGCAATTAGCTTGTCTTCCTCCAACCTTAGTTGCTGCTCATCAACATCTTTTCCGGGTATATTACCAAGTTCAAGTGTGGCTTGGTTATCAGATGGACCCAAAAGACTGGGGTTGGAAGTTGGTCGACAATGCATTAGATCCTATTCAGGCTTTACTTTCACCTGCGCCGGAAAAACTGCTGAACACAATTTTTTCATCTGTAAAAATGGGTGGAGCGCTAAATGTGGTTGAAAAAAAGTTCGACTGTTGTGTTTTCTGGCATGTACACATTGTCAAGGCCAGTCATGTTCTAATGCTGAATAACCAATAGTGGAGGAGTCATTTGATACCAACGAGGAAACATGCGATCAAATCAAATTTTTTTCGAAGTGAAGAGAAAATTTGCAGTAATAATTTCAAAAAACAATTCAGTCTTGATGTTTTGATTTGAAGTTTCATTCAAAATGCCGATAATTCTGTCAATCCCAAGCTTGAGATTTACAAAGAAACATACAAACGAACAATCATACATACGTACATACATACATGCAGGTGAAGCTGATATAAAGCGTTTGAAAATGAGAGAATTCATTCGTCTAGTGCAGGGGTCTCCAAACTTTGAAGCCTTTGGGCCATAATGATTTTTTCAGTTTGTTCCAAGGGCCAGTTTCTGCCCTTAACTATATTTCTAGACTAGGATAGTCGCAAAGTGCGTGACCTAAGCAAACTTACGCTTTTTTTGCATTTCAATTATTATTGTGTATTGAGACACTTAATGACATCTAGTGGCGAGTAGTGGTACTATGTACTATCTTTTTCAGCTACCCGCTAGGTGACATTAGGCGTAATTAAATATTTGGAATTACCGCGTTGGTTCGAGAAAGTTCTGGTTCTAGCTAGTGTATTCCGATCATCTCGAGATGGCAGTAATAATTGCATAAGGAGGGTGCAAGACATCGCAGAAAATATATCATCTCAACTGTCTGACAAAAATGGACATCATGAGTGGTTTTCTCTAGCATTGGATGAGTCAACGGATGTGTCAGATACTGCTCAGGTGTTGATTTTTATTCGCGGAGTAGATAAAAGCTATAAAGTGTATGAAGAACTTCTTGATATAGATAGTATTCACGGCACGACAACTGGGGCCGATATTTTGAAGGAAGTTGAAAATGCCATTAATAAAAAGAACCTTCAATGGAGAAATTTAAAATCTATAACAACTGATGGAGGCAAAAATATGTATGGTAAAAATAAAGGAGTGGTTCCACTTGTGTCAAAGGCTGTAGAAAATGATGGTGGTTCAAAACTATTAGTCTTACATTGTATCATTCATCAACAGTCCTTGTGCGAAAAATGTTTGGATATGTCTGAAGTTCTAAAACCAGTCATATCAGTTGTTAACTTCATCAGATCCACTGGGCTGAATCACCGACAATTCCGCGAGTTTATTCAACATATTGGAGAAAATGATTTATCATATCATACTGCCGTACGCTGGCTTAGTTGCGGAAAAGTCCTTAAGCGCTTCTTTGAATTTCGAGCAGAGATCGATTTTTTTTTTAAATGAGAAGCTGCGCCCTTTTGCCGAGTTAGAAAATAGTGAGTGGATGTGGAAGTTAGGTTTGACAAATCATATGAACGAACTGAATTTGAGATTGCAAGGGGAAATTCAGCTTCTCCCTGATTTATACACCAATATCAAATCCTCCAGACAGAAAATAATACTATTTCAATCGCAATTACGTAAAAAATGTTTCACATATTTTGAAACACGTGAAATATTCAGCCACACTACAGAGACTGAATTTCCCGTCAATTTTGCAATCGAAACTTTGAGTGCTTTGAAGATAAATTTTGATACTCTTTTTTCAGATTTTGATGTCATTGCGAATGAAATTAACCTTCTTCAAAATTCTTTTGATTCTGACATTGAAACCCTGGCTCCAGAAGTCCAAATGGAAATTATTGATTTACGGTGCAGTGATATGCTTAAGAACAAATATCAAAATTTATCTTTGTTGGAATTTTATAAGAGTCTTCCACTGGAACAATTTGATAATTTGCATAAATTTGCTCGTGGGTTGTTTTCTGTTTTTGGTACTACTTACTTGTGTGAGAAAATGTTTTCCAAGATAAAGTACACACAGAATGTTTACAGATCTCAATTAACCGATGAGCATCTTGAATCTTTTTTGATAATTGGTACAAGTAAAATTGATCCACAACTACAAAGTATTGTCGGTGGAAAATCACAAGTACATAAATCTCATTAGTGTTTTTGTTTTACTGTGTTGTTTTCTTTGTCATCATTTCTGTCGTTAAGTTTTACCTTGCAAGTAAATAAAACCGAGTAATTATCATTCTGTGTTTTCTTCTTCCACTTATCACAGCAATAGTAACAACGATTAGGTAATCATTGGCTGTCGCGGGCCGGATTGATGACACTGGAGGGCCGGATTTGGCCCGCAGGCCGTAGTTTGGAGACCCCTGGTCTAGTGTATATACCTACTAGTTGTTAGATACAGATAAAAAATATCATAACGGTAATTTCAATATTTTTCTCCCCAAAAAGGAATTTTCGTTACTTTTTCAGATGCATCAAAATCAATAATTGATACTCATGATGAAAACTGTTTACTGCTTCCACAGAACAATAAAATATATGTGTGTTCGTGAAACTGTACATCGATCAGTTATTTCACGTCAGATGAATGAAATAATGAAAACCACCCAAACATAAAACTGTCGAACGACTTCAATCTGCAATTTGATATCTGTATGTAACAGAATACGCAGACGCCCAAAAGATTAGGGATATTTCATGTCAATCTTAGTTGTTTACTGACACAAATACTTATATCAATTCGTAGGCCAAAATTGATCGCCTCAGGCAGGTAAACGATATGGAAATGAATAAAGGGATTATTTTACCTGCTGCATTAATAAAGTAGTGATAATATGATAAGTTTAATAATAAATTCATCTACATAATCAGATTACAATTTCAAGTACAAATAGTCTTTAGTGGAATTGAATGAAGTATATTTTAAGAAACGATTAATTTTTGGAAAAGAAAGGTTTTGGCTTTCTGTTTTTCAATATTTTTACAAAAATAGTGGGAATTTTTCAAAGGAAGGAAGAAAGCAATTAATTTCAAAATAAATATGTTTAGATGATGGAAAGAAGTAACTTCCAGAGAGAAACTGAAAGAAAATGCCTTCTCGAAACAGCTATTTCCTTAAAAACATTGAATATGACGAAAGAAAAAATAGAAATCGGGGAATGTGGGGATGGTTATAGTAATCGTGCTCAGTTCAAGAACTGATCGTGATTTGAGTGTTGAAATTTAATATTGGTGCAGTTATAATAACTCAAAATTTTTGTTATCTATTCAAAATGTAGCGTCCTTGGACAAGTACTAATACTGATAGCGAGTGTGATAACAACGCACACTTTTTCCAGCGTAGTGATTCCAATAGCGATGGTGCACAATGCGAAAAAGAGATACCAGTGAATAAGATTCGGATGCATTTGAATACTGAAACACAGAGAGTATATTTCAACATATATAAAAATCTACAACTTGAGTTTGGTTTCGAGAGAAACAAATTATTACACGCAACATCAGGTTTGACCGAAATTCCTTTCTCAGCTGTACGTAAAATAGTCAAAAATAAACCTTATGAACGCAAGACGCGATGTGATACGGATTACACAGGTCTGCAAAAAAAACTTTAAAAAAAAATTGTTTTGATTTCGTTAACTGATCTTTATGTAGTTTTTTGCGCTGAATTCGAAAATGACATTTGATTTTATCTATCACGTACGGATAATAAGGATGAAATAATTG